GAGCTACAGTGAGGTATGTATGATATTGCTGTAATAGTCACTTAAATTTAAATCTAATGTAAAATAATATCGAGAAAAAGATTCTAAGTGATAGAGGTTAGGTAAATCAGTTTACGAGTATATTTCATAATATAAAAAGTAAGTTGCATTTTTAATATTCTAAATTTTGGAAAAATTATGGATTTATTATAATATTTAACAGGGATCGGAAACTCGAAGTTACTAGAGGGCCAATTTTTAGAAAATTAAAATCTAGCGGGCCAGAGTATAAAAAAAAAAAAAAAGGTCATTCAAAAAATGAATTTTAATTAGCATTTATATATGTGGAAATAATAAATTCAACACACAAGATAGCATAATCCGAATGATACGAAGAAACTGATATAGTTAAATAGTTTGGTAACAGCTATGGTTGAAAGCTATACTTATACATTCATATGACATTTAGACATTTAACGATGTTTAATACTAGATAACAATTATTATATTGATAAGTTAGAGCATAGACGATCAACTTTAAAATTGTATGATGAAATTTTAAAATATATAACGGGCCAGATAAAAAAGGCTCACGGGCCAGATGCGGCCCGTGGGCCGGCAGTTGCCCACCCTTATATATTATATAATATTGTATATAATAATATTAATATCATTATGTTATATATTATCTAATAAATTTAATTTTTTAATCTTATTATATTACAAATATTTTGATAAAAAAATAACCAATATTATTATTTTAATTTTAGTATAAACGATAATTGTATTATTAGGTACTATTTATTTACACAAGATTTAGAAGTATGCCACTTGGAATAGCATAGTTTTTCTGATTTTCTATAATTGCATTTATTTGTTTTGCAACCCCGAGTACAAATACACCAATCATATCCTTGTCCTCCTAAATTAGAAAAGGAACGGGCTGCTTCTCGAAATAGAATTTAGTTACCTAGTACATCTTTGATGAGTAAAAATTTTTCTTTACAAATCGTAAATTGGCTTCTTTTGTACAGCTGTTGCAGTTTTCTTTGGTCGTACCGATTTCATAGAAGTTATATTTCACTGAAATATAGGTATTTTAAAAGTTAATTAATAGTGAGAAAATGTATAATTTAATATTATTATTACCTGACATAATCACGCCAAGAACACATCTGAGATTACTCCTTGCTCTATATACATCAGAAACTTCCGTAATTTTTTTGACTTGAATTTTCAGATTATTTAATGACTCTTTCCTGTTTTGGTTAATTTATGTTTGACTTGTTATTGTTTGTTTTTAATTATTTGATCTTCATCATTTTCTTTTTCTATACCACAAATCACTTCATTATTTTCGTTAACGTTAGAAAGAACCTGTACTGAATTCAAAGCAACCTGTAGTTCTTCTTTGGTTTTTAATTTTGGTATCATGTTGGAAGAAGTAATAAATACATTATACCAATTTTAAGGGGTGCACCAAACATTACTTCATATGGTGAATGTTTTGTACTCTGACGGTAAGCACGATTTTTCATAAGCTATACGAATCATTGAAGCCATTGCACCATTCTTTTTGTTATATTATCTTGAATCCATGTTGCGAGCATATTTTCTATATCTTGGTTTGCTCTTTCAACTGAACCTTGGCTTTGAGAGTGTCTTGTCTTACCATGAACTATTTTCAAATCCTTCTACACAGTGCAGAATTCAGATATTATTTTATTAACGAATTCGCGTCCGTCATCACTTTGTAATATAACGGTTGCCCCAAAAAGGGTAAATATATCCAATAAAACATTAGCAACTATTTCGGAACTTTTATGTCTTAAAGGCCTAAGTACGATAAATTTGGTCAATTGATATGGTAAACACATATAAATTTATAATCTCCGTCTGGTTGCGCTTGCAATCAATAAGGTATATTTGACACCTCGAATTAATTTCCGAAGAAATAATTGGTTTGACCACCAATCCTTTTTTACACTGTACTTCCCATTCTCTCACATGACTCGCAAAAATTAAAATATGACATTGTTGTTTCTTTGGTTATATTTTTAAATTTCTTATTATATATCGTACTACATGCGATTTCTACCACTGTACCCAATAGACAAATGTGTTTCATGTAAAATGTCAAATAACTCTTCATTATGAGCATATAATTTTACACAATTACCTTCTACAATTATTGGCATAATTAATTTTTCGTCTCCGAGTACAGTCATTACGTCATATTTCTTCATTAATTTTGAATTTATTTTCTTCTCTAGCTTAAGTTATTTTAAATAATTAATTATCTCATAATATTTAGATTTACTAATAAAAGTATTGTTAGTTTTTTTTCATTTCGACAACTTTGTTTAAATTTTATATTCCATTTTTAAAACACGCGTACAAATCGTAACGAAGTATAGTGTCGTACTGTCGTGTAAAGTACAAACATTTGACTGGATAGTCGAAAATATCAATTATTGTTTATATATTGTTGACTGATCTTATCAAGACTTTCTTTTATTTTTATGATTAATTTCATCATTCCAATATGAACATGTCTATACTATGGGAAAACTATATGATTCATAAATTGACAGTACGATAGATAGCAAAAATATTTTTATACAGCGTGTTTCAAAAATCTTATAGTTTGCATTGATATAATGATAATAGTGATTTTTTTTTTCATTCTATCAATATAATAATATAATTAATCCATAATTGAATTAAATTTATTAGAAAAAATACATAATGATATTAGATAATATTCTTGGTTCACATTGCCCGTAACATAAACACTATACAGGTATTAGATATTTTTATAAGTCCTACATATTTTTAATTTGTATTCACATTATATATTACATATTATTAGGCTTTTATTTGTATAGGATTATAATTATTAATTTATGACTTTTTTCAAGAATATTTATTGTATGTAAACTAAATTTTTCAAAAGCCAAATAAATGATATGGCGAACTATGGTAACGTTGCATATAAATTCCTTCTCAATCGTATCGTTTTTTTGGGTCAGCGCTAAGTTCTTTGTTAATATTAAGTGCTCTCAATCGTTCAGCCAAAAAGGTATAACGTTCTCAATCATTCGATATTTGTAATTTTTTCTACCTTTTTTCTCAATTACTAGAAAAACTAATGAAGTATCCAAGTAATTATTAAGAAATTACCTTTTGTACATGGACAGAAATAAAACAAACACATATCATGATAAAACCAATACATTACTTGTTTGACTCAGAATCCATAATGTTATAATCTCATTTTCTTGATAAAATGTAAATAAATATTACCTGTAAAATACGTGCTTTGTGTTATAAAATATCCATTAGTGGAAAATCATTTTGCTTAGGAAAGAAAAATACTCATTACATAAAAACATTCGATAAATTAGAAAAAGAAATAATGGATAGTAACAATAAATTAGTTAATTAACGGTATAATAAAGTATACCATAATAATGAATTGTTTGGGGTTTCTCCGTAAATTTGTAGTGGTTTTGTGAAATAAAATAATCAATTTTTCTTTGTTTTTCATAACAAAAAAATGTATACCTTTAGTTTTATTAAATGCGTCATTTGAGTTATGATAATACCGTACAAGTATTGGGTCAATGTGTTTTGATTAAAAATTATACGCAAACAATAAAAAAAAATAAATATAACTATTCCTGTAAAATGGAACTGGGTAAAAATGGTTATTTAGAAAAGCTACATCTATGAACATTGAAAATTAATTGGAAAAGCGATGTAAACGGTATTCTGTACGAAATTAGTATAATACTATTACGAAATGTCATGCTATTATAATGAAAACTACAAGTACAACGATAGAATATATAAAATATTTAATAATCAGATTAAAATACACTATAATATAATTCACTAACAAACATCAAATTCAAATTCAATACCCATTAAAATCGAAAAAGTAACATAATGCGTTTGTTATGTCACAATCGCATCTGATTCAAATTTTTTATAGTGTTAATGATATATGATTAATGATATTAGTTGTTAGTTTTTGTTCTTAGTTCATAAGGTTTTTTACTAAAGTTTTAAAAATTATAGTACTTGTAAATTTAATAATAATAAAACTAAAAATATACAATTTCGATTTACGATTTTATTTAAAAAATTATATGTAACTTGATTTGATTAAAATACAAAAAATTAACATGTTGATAAATTGTAGTAGCTGTAACAGATTGATTTCAATAAACAATAAAAAATAAAAAATTATTCACCGAGTGTTCGAAGAATTCGATCAATTGGTTAAATTAAATGATGGTATAACAATTTTATTTATAAAATAAATCGGGGGACAGAAAAAAAGTCAAAAAATAATTACAATTATCTGTATTGCATGTGTATACTTTTTTTGTAATTCTAAGCCTATGAAAATATATTCTTCATGATCAGTTCTTAACTTGGAAAAATAAATAGTTGATAAAGTACTTCAATGACACATACATATTTTGCGTCTTTACCGAATGAAAAACTAATCATAACCGTGTTCACTCACTTACGACATTCTCACAAATGTCAACATGTTATACTCTATTTCGAAGTTTGAACCATAACCCTAATGCTTTTTGTCTAAAGAGGCTGAAATCTGTATAAAATTCTAAATTTAACAAAAATAAATGAACCGCAGGCGTTATATGTAATGGAAATAAGTACACGATTATGTGTACCAACAATAATTGTCGATGTTTATATTTAATTATTATAATTTATCATGTATCAATCTATCAAAAAATAATGCTTAGGTATACCTGTACATTTTGTAAATTATTTATTTTTTATAAAAAACATTTTTTCATTTTTTTAAAAACAAAACTCAAATAACATACGATCCTATGAGACCTATTTTGAAATAATAATAGTGGTATGCTAGAACATCTGATAATTTATTCAGGATACTCTATCCTTTCTTCACGTATCTCCAAGTCAGGCAATATCTGTGATAACTGATAACAGTGGCATATTTTTTTATTTTTTTGTAGGTTCCTCAGATCACGATCTACGAGAAGAAAAAAAGATTCAAAATCACAAATTATTTGCTACAAAGGTATAGAAAAAAAGAATATTAATTTATATAATTTAGATGTAAATAACTCTGCATTTATATGTATAATAATAATATAATAAATAAGTTATTAATTGATACCTAATATGTATTTTTTATAATATTATAAAATCATTTATTTTTAAAAAAACTATTAACAACCCCACAAAAAATTTGATAATACACTACCGAATAATAGCATATATTATATACACAGAGTTACATAAAATATAATTGTATACCTATTTAATTTTCAATATTTACAACTATATTCAAAAGTGCAAATAAAGGGGGCTTTGTCGCTCAAGATTATTTATAAGTGAAAAAAAAAAAAATTCAATGATTATTCTACAGAGTATATTATGCATAGTAAAATATATTATAATTATGCATTATGCGAAGAAAATGATACGGGTGGCTAAATATCAACTCTCTTCATACGTGTTTCTTTTTAATATTATACCCATGCATAACATATATAATAAAAACTAGACATGATCCAATAATCTACTGTATACACTCAGCGCACTCAAATTACAAATGTTAGTCTTCGTTAGACGTCAAACGGAATGCGCGGTCCTGAAAAATGTTTATGTAACCAAAAAGGAAGATCATGATTAATTACAGAAAAATATAAGGATTAAATGTTAGTTACGAATTAATTACCGTTCACCCGGGGGGGGGGGGGTGATTTACATAAATTTACATAAAATCTAACATTGAGTTTTCAATTAAATTAATTCTAATGTTGGTCCAACGGTCTGTCAAGTGGGCTTGAAAAGTTTGCAAATCGCCTTATATATTTTATAACCGTATTGAATTTTAACTACAAATAAGGCATTTTGTTCGGGATGACCCTAAGGATTTGCTGATCCTATTCAACAGCAGTTCATGAAATCTCATAGGTTGATATTTGGTTAATCACAATCTCGTTAAAATTAAATATCGTTAAAAACCCGCACGAACGTCATGTAGTATAACTTATAATATTATGACATATTGTACCTACACAGTGCTTTTATATATGTAATTGCTCGTAAGCTCGAGGAAAATAATATTCAGTAAAACCTTGATTATCCGAATTAATTGGGACCACGCCGAGTTCGAATAGAAGAAATTAAAAAAATATTTAAAATATAAAAACATAGAATTATTACCACACATTATTGACTTATTTTATTTATTATTATAAATTACATATTATGTTATATTATTTTGTTACAAATACAATATATCTAGTATATAATATGCATATATTGATAAGCTAGCCGCACGTGGACGTTGTTTAGATGAACGTACCTACTAAAAATGAGCTGCGACTGGACGTGTGCATTGTGATATTTTACGTATTGTCGTTCGGATACATGGATTGAAACGAAATAACGTTCGGATAACAGAGGGTTCGTATGACGTAGGTTTGGATAATCGAGTTTCTACTGTACGTTCCCACTGAGTTAGCCTTTCGGAAATATATTACTATTCGTAAATGTACCGTGCAGTCGAAGGGTATTCCCGTTAACGGATTATAAAACGGAAGCATTTGAAATAAATCGTGTCGCAACTTCAACGAACCCCACTGTTATTAAATCAGAATTAAAATGATTGTACATTTTCAATTGATGCGGCAACGTGGTCGGCGACTCTTGAAAAATATGCGGCGCAAATGAGAACGTTATTACGCTCACGTCATACAATTTACTTATTTTGATCGTTTTAAATATAAATATTACCTTTGATCGACATTTATAATTATTATTAATAGCTTTAATCCGTTTGCGTGATATCAAAAGCATATCAAATGGTAATAAAACTTCTGAGCGAAGACCTATCGAATCACAGATGCATAAATAAATTAAAAATATGTTCAAAGAGCTGTTGCATTTCGATAAATATTAAAATGGTAATTCGTTTGGTAAAGGAATCTAATTAAACGAATGTACCGATATGACATATTACAGATTTATAATATGACAAAATATATTATGTTTAAAAATTAATCAATTCATATCCGTAGTAAAACGTTATCAGTCTGATGTTTACAAATTGGATAGATGTTTAAAAATTATATTTTCAAATTACGAATGTATGCCAGATAAGTTTTATATTTATTATCCATTGCATTAAAATACTACGCGTTTTCATTTTACATGCAATACGAAAATTAATAAGTTTATAACTACGTATATTTTTGATCCAAATCCTACATAAATCTAACAGTAATATTTCAGTTAAACGTTGCAATGGGAAAATACTTCCTTTATTATGAACTTCGTTGAAAAGCTAAATTGTTTTAACACTTGCTTTTTGAAAAATTCGAAGTCATGTAATATATAATATCCTTATAACTAACAATAAAGAAAATGGGGTTAGCTTTAAGTTTTAATAACCTCTTGGGATGTAAGGCAACCGTCATTAACATATTACATCTCACGGAATTTTGTTGATTAAAATAAATTGATATTGTAAAACAAATTGAAGACATTAAGGACTAATTAAAAGTAGAGAGTAAAATGTAAATTATATCCCTAATAATTACCTCAACTTTTCATTAGTGCCGGATAAACGTCTCATCATATTAAAATGTTTTGTGTAATAGTTTTTTTTTGTTTTTACTTTTTAATATTTTTTAATTATTATTATTATAATTTTTTTTTTTTTTTAAGTAAGCTTTACCCTATATAAAGACCACATATAAACATAAACGTGATTCTATTATTATTATTATTATTATTATTGTTATTATTATTATTGAATTTGTTATAATTATAGCAGTTTTGCACATTTTTAAAAATTAACTTATAATAAATTAATTATTAAATTTTTATTTACAAGATACTTAAATATAATATGACAGTGAGCCAAAAACATTATATATAAAATTGTATTAGTACATAAACTAAACTTTAACGAAGTATCTTCAACAAATAACCGGATATGTATGACCTTATATTATTTTATTGTTAATTATAATGAATAATGTTTACAAAATTTTTATAATAATTAAAAAGTGTAGCTGTTTTGATGAGTTAATGAAGTTAGTAAGTGAATTCTATAAAAAAATTACAAATATTAACTGATGTAAAAATGTAAAAATGAAAAAAAAAAAGGAAAAAAATAAATAACAAATTGATATGGTCTATTTTCAAATATTTAAAGTTAATTTTGAGCTAATTTGAGTTGAGTATAGTTACGTAATATAATACATTTTAAACTTTATATGATAATTTAAAGTTGGCATCCAAATTTATCATAATTAATTTAGTTATTAAAATTAATTTGAAGTATGTTCTTGGAATAAATATTTTGCTCCCAATCACCTCAAACATCCATCAATTTATAATGCCGAAACACATTTTATTCCAGCCATACACTTAATGTTCTATCATCATAATCAAATATTTTCCAAATTATCTTTGCATTTTCGATAACTGCATATACTGCGAAGATTAAATGTATTTGGTTAAAAAATAATAAGAAATCACTACTATTAAAATTTACAAATAGTCTTCATAGACTTCATCGACAATGATTAATGAGTTACCCTATCATTACACGTATCACGTAACATTTAAATTATCTCATGAAATTATTCTAATTCATTATTGCACACCATTATGAATAAGATCAAATTTTTCACATAAAAAAATAAATAAATTATTGTAAATTGTTTTTTACGGCATATGAGAATATTAAGATATTCTTTTTATATAATTAAAATTATTTAACTAATTTATTATTTATACAATATAATGATTTATCGTTATTATTTTAATTTTAAATTTAATATGTAATCTTACTATATTATTTATAAAAAAAAAATGGTATAAAATGGTATGCAAGTCACTGGACTTTTTGTGTGTAAGCTACACACTCAAAATTGAATTTTAGTAACAAATTCTATCGTGTAAATATCATATACTTCAATTTAAGCTTATAATGGTTCGATCGATAATGCGATATGAAGACGTGAAAGCAGACGTCGGTATTTTTTAAGGCTTTAGAAAATATTTCGATACTCTTATCGCAAGATCCCCACACTCGCATAAGTACATGATTTTACTTATTTATACGTATTTTCATATATTCTTATTTATTATAAATACATCTATGGACGTATATTCATCTATGATTCAATTTTACGCGTGTACTCGCAAAAAAGATACAACGTTTAAGAAAATGCTCGTGTTTGCGCGCTTGTTTACATCCCTGTTGCTGGCCACGACGTTTTTTATTATTCCACTATATATTTATATAGTGCATTAAGCTCCACTCGACTCGTTCCGATATAAATTACGTTCTACAAATCCCTAACAACACGCATAAAATAAGTCATACTCTGAACTTAATATTACGGCATATAAAACTGCGTACCGTGTGCATCACTACCCTGTGGCACCGAACTTTTAAAATCTTACTCGAGCCAAATAAAAATACAATGGATTCGAGCACCCCAGCAGACACAAGCCTACATTTTTAATTTACATAGAAAAATAATTTACGCTCTAGAATTACAAGTATTAAACATGATTCATATTAGTCAGACACGTACCGACAGACACCGTACCGTACAGTTCCGCAAAATATTTTATTGCGTGTTTTAATTTTTGATAGTTCACATTCGAACGCAAGTGTAAACCATAGATCGGCCTGACCTAAGCATATGGTTCGGCACCACCGGTACAGTGTATACTGTACGCATCAAAATAAGTCGAGTCCGTACTTAGGTGCGTTTTTTGGTGTACTTCAAAGTCTGTCGAGTTTCTAACGGAATCGATCAAATCTACCGGTAAGAACGATCGATAAATCGGATCGATCGTTATCGTTTCTGAATCGTGCACATGATTGGTGAATGGTGTATGAAGGAATTCACGCCATCTCGACTGAACCCAAAAACAGTGAATGGTACCGTAGTACGGGAGAGGGTTATTTTGAGACGGAAAACGTTAGCGACATGTTACCTGCCGGATGTGTCGACGTAACGGGTGAGCGGGCCCCGAGCACGT